AAGAGCGGCAGGAGCTGTAATTCTTTTGAAAGCTTTTTCGGATACTTTTTGATTTGCATCAAAAATCAGAATAACAATGCGAGCCATTTCCCTAAACAAAAACGTTTTGAAGTATATGTTTCTAAAGAGATCAATCATTATTTAATAATATTAATAATATTAATAATAATAATTATAGTCTTTTTGTTATTACTTTTCATATAATAATACATCTTTTGACATTGAGGCATTAAAAAATTTCCATTGCAACAAAAATGACGCAGCTGATTAAGACAACAATAGGAAAAACGGGAGAAGACCGAGTTTAGCTGCAGTTGCATTGCTTAGTTGAAATTCAGCTGTAGAAACAGCTGTAACCTTCAAAAATCTTCAAATTGGTAATTTTTAATTTTTATACGAATGCCCTAGCTTAAACCATGTTTTTCCGCCGAAAGGTTTTGGTTTCAGTTTTCAAGGCTTATTAATAATTTTCACTAATTCCAAGCAATGACACGGAAGTTTACAAGAACAATACGCGGCCAAACTGTGCACTCGATATGTACACAATGGTATCTGTATGTTCCTGGATTTTCAAAGAATCCAATAACAAATTTTTGTTCAACTAAAATCGAGGTTGTATGCCTTTAATGTTTGGAATAAATGAAAGTTTTATTCCATGAATTAGTTTAACTCAGTTTGTTTTGAATTTTCTAGTATCTGAGATTGGAAAGGTAATCATTGGAAAAGTGTTCACTCCTTCAGTATATGAGTTTGGAAAATTTTTCATTCTTCTAGTAATTGAGATCAAAAATGTGTTCATTCTTTCAGTATTTGGGATCGAAAAAAGCTCATTCATGCAGTATTTGATTGGAAAAGCGTTCACTGGTTCAGTATTCGAGATTTAACTGGTTAGCTCAAACTGTTGACAGGAAATGAGATTGATATGTTGGATAATATCGCTGATTGCCCACAAAAAATTTCTTTGTAAGTATATATGTTACCGGAATCGGCAAACAAAATGCGGATTCCGCCTTTAATTTGTGGTTTCCTCTTATAGTTGGGATTCCGCAAAAGTTTACTTTTACTATAGCTAAATTTTGTTATTTGCTTGTCAAATTCACCAATTGTTGCGGATTCCAGTAGTTCGCCTTTCGCCTATTTTTGGAGCGAATTTGATTGGTACACTTGTTTAGTTGTTTGTTTGTAGAATCAAAAACTGCAAAAAAAATAAAGAAAAATATCAATTTTGCACCTTCCGCGACAAATTTGGTTTTGGTCTGTTGCGGAATCCGCTTACAATTACAAAATTGCACAATTTGGCCTCGTAAAACTTAATTACCCGAAAATTTTGTAAATCCTTACAATAACTAACTGATAAATTGATTAAAAATTGAAAATTACAAGAGCAACAATAATCATTTTGTATTTTTGTTGCTTAACGTCCGTGAAACATGGACCCTCCTGGAGGTAAATTTTGATTGGTCTTTGTACCAAAACTGAAGAAGTAGATCAAGAATTCTCTTGCATAAGCCTTTGCGTATACGCCTAAAAAGTATTTGGACTTAAAACATAACTATTTGTTCTCAAACTTATCAAGTCTTATATGAGACAAAAGTTTTGCAACCGGGTGATATAAACATCAATAAATAACTTATTTACCTCCTTCAAAAAAATCATTGGCTGGACGCAATTTGAAGTTTTGAAAAGGGCATCAATTTTAGATACTCGCACATAAAAACCTACAAGAGCGATTAGTGGAGACGATATTTCAGCAACAAAACCTTCGATTTTGTATTCAACATTGAAAAACATCAATTATTTTTGTAAAGTTTTCATTCATTCTATAGAAGGTTGCTTGGGCATCCTGATGAATTAAAATATGTGCATTACGAATTTAAAATTCTGAGTGAAAATGCTGTGAAACTGTTATAGTGAAACTGCGGTTAGCAGCTTGGTGCAATTTTGAGGGTAAGAAGTCACATTCGAATGAACTTGCCATCGATATTACTGTTGCAAGGATTCCGAATAGACTTAAACTGTAATTAAACAATGTTTGTTATGAAATCCGAAGAGCTGTAAAAACACTGCTGGCTCCTGTCCGATCAAATTTGAAGATCAGCAATTTTGTGCTAAAATCGATAATAATTGAAAGATCACATTTTCTATGAGAAATAATTTTGTAGTTAACCAAATTTTAAAGCAACTCCAAATCGGTAATCGTTAAATTTTTTCTCGAAGTTTATTTGAAAAATAGAAAAAGTTGGAAATGGCGGTTAATTTTTTATATTTTTTTTTTTACAGATGAGGACCTTCTCATGATAAAATGGGATTAAAATGCAAAGTTACGATGGACTGGTTGTTCTACAGGGAAATCAGAAAATGTTTTCAGGCCATAATTTCTTGCTTTTTGAAATATATGAAGCTTGACGAAAAAAAATATTGGCTTGTGTTAGGGAAATTTTGATTGTGAAACGCTGTGCTTATAAAACTCTTTTTAACGTATGCATTAGTCAATCCGCTTAAGCGCCGTTTTGCCTGCGTGTTTCAAGACAATGCCTTGAAGTTTCAAGCTAGCTTTAGCTGTCTTGCTAAAACTTTCGAAAGAAAAAATGAAATTGTTAATCAAAATTTTCACCGCACGCGCTAAATTGATCATAAGGCGTCCAAAAACTAATGCAGACTAAACTGCATTAAATTGAGTTTTCATGAAATTTTTTTTTGCAGAAAAGCAAGTGGGAACTTTCACATTGCTCGTGCAATTATGATTCATTGCACAAATTAAAAAAAAAACATTTTTCAATCGTTCGTTAAAAAGGAAAATTTAATAGAATAATCCAAAAATCATAATGTACACTAACTTGCCGAGTTGAAAGCCAATTCTGATTTTTTCCGATTTTTTTTACAGCAACAGAATAGCAATGTAGAAAACGATTATAACATCACAAAGGCGAACCTGCAATGTCAGCAAAAAAGCGGCAAACGGGAACTTTAAAATTTTTGCAGGTAAAACTTAGGAATGTAATAAATGAAAGTGTACTAAAAATGCGAAAAACATTGACTCTTGAATTTCTGATAAAGAACTTCTATTTATTTTTTATTTGAATAAAATGTGTTTTTTGTTTCTTTAATTAAAAAGGCATTAACTGTGTCAACCATAATATAACTAAAATTCACCGTATATAATACTAAACTGCTGCCTAGAGCTATCAAGTAGCCATGATCATTACCAAAAGTAGAGCCTTTCCGCACTGACAGAAATGGTTTACTGTCAATTTAAATTGATTTTAAATCAATTTTAAATCGATCGAAATCGATTAACCATGTACATTTTACGAACTTAAATGGATTTTAAATCGATTTAAATCGATCGTTTTGAAATTTTTAACTCGATTTAAGTGTCTAAAAATTGATTGAAAACGATTTCGACGGATTTTACGATTCATTAAAATCCATCTCATTTAAATCCATCAGAATCTCACTTAAAACCATTTTAAATCAATTTAAATCGATCTTTTTGAAATTTTTAAATCGATTTAGGTGTCTAAAAAATCGATTTAAATCGATTTCGATGGATTTTCCGACCACCAACAGTCGGTTTTTTGCTAACAAAGCAAAAAAACATGCTTTTTTTAGAAAACTAATTGAAATATGATTTTCATTTGATTTTTTAAATGAAAACACACGTGACAGATGTTTTAGAATTCAAGAAATAAAAAAAAAATGTTAATATGAACCAGATTTTGAGCTCAAAAATATGCAACGAAAATCTAGAAAATCATCATTACATATCAGATTTCTTGCATTAACATATGTAACAAATCAAGAAAATTGTAAATTGGATCTTGGGCAAAATTTTGTGTAACAAACCAGAAAAGGGTCAGGTAAAATTAAATTATGATCTCAATAATATGCAATAAAATCATAGAAAATCAGATTTTAAGCAAAAATTTATGAAACGAATCAAGAAAAGGGTCAATATAGATCAGTTTTTGAACTCAAAATATGCAAGAAAATCATAGAATTATATCGATATTTTGGTCTTTTCATTTGGTCTTTTTTATGCTACAATACGCTATGGATGTTAAATGAAAAATGATGGGCAAGAAATAAATGCAGTAAAAATTTAAAACTGATAAATCTCCAATAAAAAAAATCTATTTAAATCGATTTGAATCCGTTTTAATCCCCTTAAAAGTAAAAACAGTTTCAGACTGGAAAAATGCATTTAATTTGATTTAAAATCGATTGGGATCAATTTTTTTAGTTGGGATTTAAGATCAATTCAAATCAATTTTAAATCCATCCAAATCAATCTTCATCTTTTCTTTTATCTTCGAACTTTTTTCCTACTAAAATCGATCTAAATTTAATCAACGTACCATTTTCATACTAAAATCGGTCTACATTTATTCAACGTACTTTTTTCGTACTAAAATTGACCCTAATCCATTTTTGTCAGTGCGGTTTGATATGCAACTTAAGACGGAAAAATCAATATTGGTGTTTTCAAAAGTCCTTGTACGTGCATCTCGAGTTAAAATAAATTCTATCGTGAATTAAATACTGAACCGAGCTGAAGCAAAAGTTCATTTTTGGAATGGTTATGGAGCTCATGAAGCAATCTTTTTCTTTGCCTGCCAGTAAAATACTGTAATGTTTATAGAAGTTTCAAGAAAAACAAAAAGAACATGAAGAGTTTGAATATAGATTCCGTTTTGAAGAGCCAGGGTTAAGGTTTCAGTGATAATTTGTTAATTTAGAGAAAAACAAGTTCTCATCATCGCTGAATCAGGCTCTGATCAGTGGCATAGTATTCAAGATCAGATCCGAAACATGGGTGAAACAGCGCTGAGAATCTGTTTAAATTAGCTCTGAAACACTTGCTAGTTAGACTGAAATTTTTGATTTTTAAGAAACGCTGAATCGTCGTCTTTGGTCTGCTCAGGAAGCAAGAGTAAAAGATTCAGTGCCTCCATACAGTGAAAACTCTCCTACCAAGGCGTTGTCATGAAAAACTGTCATGATTTTTCAGAACAATTTAATTATCGGTTTGTATTCAATTTGATGTCCTTAGTTAGTTAATTTCCGTGAGATTGTCACGATACATTTGAAATTTCTGGATACTCAAATCTTATCGGCGAATAAAAACTCTTAAATTTTTTTCCGTCTTATATAAATGAATCCGTTTACCTTACAATTTGTACAGCTAATATGAACAAATAATAGTTTTTCTGTTTGAATTGTGAGTAATCAGAGTTTTTTTGCTTGGATTTTCACCAAAAAATCACGTTATTTTTGTTCAGAAGTTCATCGGAATAACATAGCTTCGATGTTCATATGTACACTTTTGCGTCCTCGATGATGGGGAGTCTTTTTAATAAGTTTTTGGATCTGTTTCACCAAGTTCCTGAATGTTTTCGCGTATTTCTTATCGTCCTTGTCGTCGTCGCCAGTTCTGGAGAAATCGGAGTATAGAAGGCTTAGCGTTTTCATTCTAACTGTTCCTTCAGCTCGGTATCCTTTTTGGCATAAAATCGGGATTATTTTTTTCCTTAAATCAAATGCGTAGTTGAATTCAAGAAGACAGTTTGTGCTCTCCTCGTACTCTCTGGATAAAATGGGAAGGATGATCTTGGAGTTACGAACGGTTTTCTCCATTGACTCATGTATTTGAATGCCCATTTCTTCTTCATCTATCCACACTTTGTATCCCGCAGTTTTCAAGTCTTTTGAGAGTCGAAGCGCGAGATCTTTTCCACTTGACCAATTGTAACTTATCATAATATCAGAAAATTCGTTGGTCGTCCTTTCCTGGCTCTGAGAGTCTAGTTGTTTTCGAATTTTCTCCTGCAGGTTACCATCAGATCCTGCCATTTCTTTTGACTCTTTCTTAGAAGGTTTTTTGTCGTCAAAACGAATAATGTCGGTTGTATCTTGAATTATCATGAAAATTGCTGAGCTATTTTGACCAAATTCAGAAGGCCTCCTACCTGAATTGGATGACTCAGAGAGTTCTTTCAGCATTTGTTCATTTTCTTCAATTGAATGAAAAATGTCGAGTAGACGCTTAGCATTCTCCCAAGGCTTAGATGTTAAGTTGGTACAATTTGACCAAACAGGATGCTTTGCAGCTAACTCACGCTGGGTTATCCTTAGATGTAGCAACTCTTTAATTGCACTTCGCTTGAGTCTAGGCTTGCATCTTTTGGACCAGGATTTCAAAATGTCCCTTTCCATCCAATCATCATAGTCTGAGGTTTCAAACATAGTTATCTGAGGAGGCCAGTCTTCAAAAATGAAATTGAAATCATCATCATCGTCGCAATCGTCGTCTCTTACTTCGTCTTCGGCTACGTTGCCGTCTTCGTCTTCGTTTTTGCCTTCCTCTTCGGCTACTTCGCTGTCTTCGCCTTCGTTTTTGCCTTTGTCTTCATATTCGACATCGGAATCGTCTTCACTGCGAGTCAGATCCTAAAATTTATCCTTCATGGCATCGAACTAGAAAATTTGAGCTCACTTGTGAGAGTCGTAATAGTTCACACACGTTTATACACACGGGTATGTGAGCTGGGCGCGGAAAAGAGCAGGAGCAGGAGCAAAAATCCAAAAACAATTTTTTTTCTAAAAGTTATTAGAATTTAGCTTCTTACTTTATCAGTTCCATATTCACTACCCCACTCCCCCATCTCCCTTGTACAAAAAAATATTCCCCGAATTTGACAATTATGATCATCATACAAAAGCGTGAATATCCGTTACTTATTCAAAGCAAGTGCAATTTTGAAATTTAAAGACATACCTCAAGCTGCTATAACTTCGGAGGATTAACACTCAGTGCTTATTATGAACAACTTATTTCAAATTCTGCTCAGATGAACAACTAAAACTACATGAGCAATCCACTTTTGAAATCACAAATATAGGTGGAACCTAAAACCGAAGCCACATACCTCACACAGATGGTCGATTGCTGAGCAAGTAGCACAAAATGCTCCGACCACATTCATAAAAAAACTACATTCATAGAAAAACTAGACTCTTTTTTTTTCTATTTGAAAAAACTTTTATATTGCTAAAAAAATTGATTTTTCAATATACGTTAATGCACATCTTTGTGCGCCTTCAGGTTAGCACTGACTCAAAAAATAACAAAGTAACCAATGAAAACTGCTCTTTCATTACAAAAATTACGTAACCACAATTATGTAACCATTTTTTGGTTTCAGGGGCAAAGTTTTGAGAGCTTTAAGCTTTTCAGTTTTGATTTTTTGAATTGCAGCTAAAATCCTGTCTACTTTTTATTATTTCATAAAAAAAAAATTCAGACAACTTTTTCGATTTTGAAACTATAGCTTCAATATCAGCGCTTTACGTCTAAACTCATCGCGAGTGTTAATTGCCGGCACACTTTCCTAATGTTGCTGGCTACCTGGTCGATTGTACACAAAAAGATTTTTGGTTTTCCAATGTCCTTACCACACATCCTCATAAGCTGTACAATGTGAGTATCCTCTTTTCGGTGTTTCTCAGTCTTTGTGGTGAGCTGTTGGACCGTTTGACCGACATAAATGGGTTTCCACCCAGAATTCTCTAGTCTGTACACCACTTTGGATTTCAGTTCAGTGGAAAACGTGGACTTCAAGGAGGGCCTACATGTTTTCAATTTCTGAGTGGTGAATGTTGTGGGCGCTTCGTTAAATACCGCGCTTTTTCTTCTTTAATATCTGGCTGTGATTCCGCCTTTATTAATTCATCAACATGTTGGCCAAACGTTTGTATAATCACAAGATTTCTCATTGATGTATCTTCTTTTTGTCTTTTCCCTGCTAGTCATCTTTTCAACTGATCGCAATTTCGCGTATTAGTTTCTGGATATTAGTTATGGAACCACTACCTACAGTTGGTTTCCAACGCTTTTGCAAAACACTCCCATGTTGTTGTATTCCAGAGGACACGGTGATCACACAGAATTTCTTTCGATCACACTCTTTTTGCACTGAAGGAGGGCGCAACTTTCAAAATGGTACCTGTTTTTGCTGATTTCTGATTGAATAATTGCTAAACCCAAAAATGTCAGCTTCCTGAATGTGTTGGGTGTCTCTAATGTGAACTGTAGTTTGGGATTTAGTGCGTTTGCTGCCCGCAAAACTTCTTCAAGATACCCCCTAACTGTCCTCGCTATTTTGTCAACTTAACGGATAAAAGTTCTACTTTGTGAAATGACTTTCTTTTTCCCTCTTGGCGGAGCCACGTCTATTTTTGCCGGGACCTGATGGTTTAAAAATTGTTTCGGTACTTCTCATCTGATATCTCAATGCATGTAACGTGATACCAGTTTTCCGCACTCTGCACATTTCAACGTGCAAGTGACCTTTTTGCTTTTGGTACATGTACCCTTAAACTTTTTTGGGAACGATAAATTCAGGAACATCCCGCATGAGTGCGGACTCGTGCTGTTTTAAACAAGGACTAGAAAAAAGTACAGCAAATGATGCCGTTATTGTCAAAACATCCTTCTTAACCTATCTTGTTGCGTTGTACTTGAAAGGCAGAAGACTAACTGCCACGTTCCACTTTTTTCATTGTTTTTCTAACAATTGGCAGTGGTTCAATTTGCTCATGTAGCTTTCTGAAAAATATGTTTTTTTTTGCGTACTTTAGTAGTTGATTTGTATACAAGCTTTCAACATCTGGAGAAATCACATTTTTTGTAGGCTCAAAATTAATTTCGAGTTGGTTTCGGAGTTTCTATCGAGTTGGTTTCGATGTTTCCTCTCCCAGTTTTTTTAATTATTTTTTACTGGAATTTTTTCAGGTTACAATACGAGCTATCATTCATTGAGAGGAGAGGACCTTCGCCAATCAAAAAAAAGCCTTGTGAGCTGCAGAGATGAGTTCACCTCATCCTAGTAAACAGATTGTCTTTTATTACTTCTCTTTTCATCGTAGCCAACAGTTCCTTATTGATGTCTTTTTCTATCTTCAAAACAATCGAATCATTCATTTCGTGCTTTTTGTTCAATTGATTTGAACCAAGCAAATCGCTAACTTATTCTCGTAAGTATGTATCCTGATTAGACTAAAAAAACCAACCTCTTTGTCATATGGTACCTCCACCACTTCATTAATTTTTTGTGCTTTCTCAACACCTTTCAGAAAGTTATTCGATTAAAAACGGATTGGAAATTTACTTTTTTTTCAAAGCAGCAAAACCCACTTTAATCGGATATAATCATGTATACTGGATTGTGATTATTTTAGTCTCTAACGGTTATTTTAAAAGTTAACGGTTATTTTTTGCCTAGCACACAATGCTTTAGATGAAGTGACATTTATTTTGGCTCAAAAAGTAACAATTTAGCAATTCTTTTGTAATCAATTTTTTGAAACTGTTTTAATTTCTGCTGACATTTGTTTTCTTTATCAATCCAAAATCCAATTTTCCAACTTTTTTTATCATCCTGTTTGAAAACCCAAATTCACATGCGCTGACAACGATTTTTCTGTTTTTTTTTGAAAAATCAAAACAAAACTCAGATAAAAATATATCCATTTCAGAAAAACACAAACGTATAAATCAACACATAACCATTGCTACTTCAGTGGAAAAAAGATCGCATTGTCTGAATGTTATGTTTTTTAATTGAACAATGCATATTTGGACAGGGCACAGAAAATTGAAGCGGAAAGAACTGAACAAACGAATCTAAGTTTGAAAAGCCACTAAATATTTTCCTCTTGCTGGGCTAAAGGCAAACATAACTATATAAACGTGCCACTGTCTATAGCTTTCAAAAAACCTTTTTAACTATATAACACAGCACTGAATTCATTTTTTAAAATGGTTGTTCCAGAATTAAAACGCAAGAAAAATATAGAAGTCAGAAAAAATGGCATAACTGGAAGCTACCGTAATTCCAATCCAAAGTTGTGGATTGTTGCTCTCAAAATTCAGCAAATTTCCTAGTTAATGACATTCTTTTGTGGATTGGACAGCCTTTCAATCACATCAACGGCGAGGTTTTAGCTGACGCTACCCGCACTGGAGTTCTTTGGTTAATAATTCAATATATTTGGATTTTTATAGTCAGTCTGTAAAATTGCAAAGATTTTGAAACAAATTAGTTTGAAAATTTTTCGTAGTTAACTAATTATTTCTGAGAAATTGTAAAAAAAAAGTAACGAACCAAGTCAACATCCCCCCCAAATACGTTTAGGGGGGAGGATGTTAACTTGGTTACGATTTTTTAGCCAATCAGAAGACACGCAGGGCTTAGCAAAATTAATTTATCTGAACGCTGGGGTGGAGGATCTTAACTTGGTCTCTTTGGGGGGAGGGGGGGGGGGGGGTAGATTTTAACTTGATTCAAAGTAACTAATCTAAAATAAGCGTTTGTTTTGTAACTATTTTTCAGAAATACAGAAATACGGACTTTTTTACATCATTCGAAAGGTATTGTTGTCATAAGCTCAAATTTGAAAATTTAATTCACGTGTGATCATTTTTTGTAAAGCTATGGGGGTTAAAAGATTGACATTTTGGCCAACTTGGGACAATTAACGCGCGATTGTTTCGCGCTACTAACGCGTAAACGGAGGGTTAATCCGTCTAAGAAATCGTTCCAAATTGGCTGAAAGAAGCTTATAAGCAATAATTAATTTGTTACAAGGAGCAAAATCTATCCTTTTGTACTTTATATGGCGTGTGGAGGGATGATTTTGGCGTGTGGGGCGACGTTTGAAATTTTAGAAAAAGAAATTCATTTTGTTTTATTACTTTTAATTTTTTAATGTTATTATTGCTCCATAGACCTCAAAAGGCAGTCGGAACATTCAGAGCTTCGCCCTGATACGAGCAGACTTGTTTTCAATGTGAACGAAAATTTAGCGCGTGTAGTCAAAGCTTCTGGCTATAATTTTTACTCATTTTTTTTAAGTTGAAAAAACTTAAAATTTGCTGCTGAATGAGATTTTTCATTATTTCAATTGCCAAGTGAATAACACTCTCGGTTAAGCTCTAGGAATCAAATATGTTACAAAAAATTATATATTTAGTTTTGTAGTGGCTTATTTGATCGAAGGTGATTAGTTTTCAATTATCAGACAATCTTTCAACGAGATCACCTCGCCTTCGTTCAAGAGTTGTTTCAAGTCGGCCACTTGGTTCTCAATTATTGGAATTTGTGGGGATTTTTTTCTGTTTTTCAATTCCATTTATTTGAGCCCATTGTTTTAGCAGAAAAGTCGTTGTTATGCGGGAAGAAAATAGTTTCCTTTGAAATTATCTAATAGGATTATGGCGACAATTGGGATAAGCAAGGATATCACAACATATTTAAATGGGTTAAAAAGATCATTTTGTTAACTTACTAAATTTGGATTATTTTCGCAAAAATCACGCCACTGATCGATCCAGAGCTGAGCAGGGTAGTCTGAAGTAACAAATTCCTCACCGTGAGACTCCAGAGTTGGAAAAGCAGCTTCATTACTAATGGTTCTCCCCATCACACTTGCTTTTCTAACAAATATCTCGAGATCGTCAATCATTTCTTTTTGATCCTCCGTTAGAGGCTGACTGAACCTAGAAAATTTGATTTCAGTTAACTACAATTTGCTTCAATTTGTTTGAAGATAGAACTATCAAATTTATTACACAAGATGAAATCTTTTTGACTTACTTGATATTGAAATATCTTGACGATTGTATCCAAGAATAAACGTGGTTGTCAAACTGGAGTTTTAATGGGCATAAACTTGAAATTTTTTCCTTGAAGATAAGAAAAAGAATACAAAAAAATTAAAAAACAGAAAATAGATTTAAGAGGTATTGTGAGTTTATTTTGAAACCACGTCGCGCAAGATAAAATGATATGAGTTTCACTAAAAGGAATACCGCACTCAGTAAGAAGAGAAAATAATAGATTCATAGTGGATTTTTATTGTCAGTCTCCATAAATTTCAAAAAGAATTGATTATAATCGATTATTTTTGAAAGTTTTTTTCTCAATTTATAATCTATTATAATGGACTATAATCTATTATAATAGATTATAATCCATTATTATTCAAAAAGCGTCATTTCCTTTATTTTTTGTTTTGTTTTGTGGGCTTTTCAGTTGGCGGATTTAGGTGCCGACCCAATATATCAATTATCCGATTCGATTGACCCTCAACTAAACGAAAGTCAGTTAGAAAACCTAAAAGTTTTTTGAAACATTTTAAGGTAAAAGTTTATGCCTCTGAACTACTGATTTTGTAAGATTGGCACACATCGGTTGCATACACCACAAATTGTTCAAACTCTTTTTGCTTACTGGAACGAGCCGAGCGATTTCTGGTGAGAAGTTTATGCAAGGCGGTCTCTAGCTCGGTTGTTCGTTCCTTTCTTGCCTTAATTACAAATATCTCTTTTAGTCTTTTAATTTCCAAGCAGTCATGAACGACTTCAGTTCCTTCTTGAGACTCCAGTTGTCGAAAAAAATTACCGACTTCTGGGATTTTAGCTCTCATCTGCTTGGACATGTCCGAGTCTAAAAAATCATAATTACCGTAATATAAGAGCAGTATCAAAAAACACAAGGTGCAAAAATAAAGTTAAGCGAACTAAACAGTTAGCGAACTCAAGTGATTTGCTCTGCTTTTCGGTCACAAAGGAAAAATTAATAACGTATATTGTCGTTTACCAAGGCGGTGAGGCTTTTAGCTCAATGTACGTCCTTGCGTATCAAACATAATAAGGAAATTGCATAACGGTGAAACAGTTGACATCTTAGTAGGGGGTATCCAAGTTTTTTTTTTTGCGAATGTCATCAAGTCCGACCGAATGACATCCGGTTTGCGAATGACATGCGGTATCCAAGATTGTCGGTTCGCGAATGACATCGGTCCAACCGAATGACCTCCAATTTGCGGATGACATACGGTAGCCAAGTTTGTCGTTTAGCGAATAACATCCGGCCTGACCGAATCAAAAAAGCAGATTGTTGCAATTTTACCAGGTAATTAGCGCATATCAAGAAATTCTATCAAATTTTGATTGAACACAAAATCTAAAACCAGCGTTTTTGATCATTCAATCCGAGAGTTTAAAATCAAACTTTTGAAGGTTTATAAATTAACATTGCAAGTGCAATTGTTACGCGGGTACAAATGGGTACGGGAACTGGACAAATTTTCGCATGTAAATTTAAAGAGAAAGATCGTAAGCAATGAAAAAAAAGCAAGCGCCTAGAGTGAAACAACTATACAAAATCAAAGGTTGCTAGGTCAAGCAATTGCGAGTCTGGTACTAGTGTGTAAATTGTTTTTGCATAAGAACAAGTCAATTGTTTATTTGTTAAAATAAATCACTTGGTTCTGATTGATAAAAGTGGACGCTTTGTGCATGCACTTTTTTGATTAGTCATAACGCATTGTCGTAACACCAGCAGTAGATTTTTGTTATTTTTGCATGAGCAGATTAAGCCGTCATATAAATGAATGCACAAAAGTTCTGTGATGGCTGCATGAATCAAAAAAATTGCCAGCTTAACCATCATTGAATACTTTTTAAACAAATGCATGTGAAGTTCAAAAAACCAAGTTTTCAAACGTATGTTCCCGAACCTTGCAGGACTGTATAAACATATGATAATACTTTGTGTGGTTGCATTGTTAAACAGATATAGTTTTTGCTAATATATGCAGGGTGGGAAAAATATCAGCAAGTGCAATGTGAAAAAATATAGCTTTCCTTATGTCATATTTTTCAGAAGTTTACGACGAGGTAACTTAAATTATTATTTTGACTGAAGAATTCAAACTAAAGAAATAACAAGACTCCCGGGTTGACCAAAAATGCTTGTCCTACAATTTCCATATATGAAAAAAATGCTTATCCTACAATTTCCTACAGTTTCATAGACTCCGAAAATTGTACAAAAAACTCTAGGATAAGTATTTTTTCATATATGAAAAGTGTAGGATAAGCATTTTTTCATAAACCAAAAAATTGATTTTTTCTAAATTTTATTTCTCAAAATTTTTGGGATGTGTTCGTGACCGAACACATGCATGGGACTAAACCCATGGAGTACTCAACACTAGAGTTCCCAAAAGGTTGATCGTCTGTCATTGACAATGCATTGCAAACGATCTGAATTGTAAAAGTGATTACTTCACAAATGATACATTGAAAGCATCAAACTTTTAAGTTTTGGCAAAATTTTTCAAAGATAATTTTTTTTAAATTGAATTTTCAACTTATCAAACATTGATTAAGGCATATATAAACAAGCCATACAAAAAACAGGAGTTTTTAGCCCGTTTAAAAAAGTTATCCAGAGAAACGGAAAAAAATCCAATTTTTGTGCATCGTGGACTACGTTATGCAGACGAAAAATTAAAATTTGCATGCATTTTTTTGGAAAATGTTTGTTTGAGTACAAAATTCGATTTGAGATTAGCACTTTTCCATACATTTGATGTAGGCAATTGTATGACAAGCATTTTCGGTGTGAAGAAATGTGAGGCAAGCATTTTTGGTTTATGGAGGTCAACCCGGGCTGCTCGTATCAGGGCGAAACCCTGAATGTTCCGACTGCCTTTTAAGGTATTACGGAGCAGTAATAACATTAAAAAATTAGACGTAAAAAAATAAAGTGAATTTTTTTAAGCTGAATATTTTTTATAAAAATCATCCTCCCACACGCCATATTAAGTACAAAAAGATAGATTTAGCTCCTTGTAACAAATCAATTATGGCAAGTAAGCTTCTTTCAACCAATTTGGAGCGATTTTAAGACGGATTAACTAACTCTCCGCTTACGCGTTAATAGCGCGAAATATATTGCGCGTTAATTGTCTCAAATTCTCAAATTGGCCAAAATGACAATCTTTAAACCCCCATAACTTTACAAAAAATGATCACAGGTAAAATATCTTTTCAAATTTGAGCTCAGGACAACGATAACTTTTAAATGATATAAAAAAATTTCGTCAAAAATGGCTAGTTAAAAAGTCTGAAGAAAAAAAACCCCCCCGAGCACAAATATTCCGTTAATTCGTATCGAAAGTCGGAACAAAAACTTACTTTTACGGCGTGTGCTTTTTGTTATATCTTTTAGGAATTTGTTCACGCTTTAAAGTAACTTTTGCGGCTTAATTATCTTAAAAGTAGTCTCAGGTAATTTCAAATTTTCAAATAGTTCAGATAATCCGACTGATTTTCCACATATAGGATTAGTTTTTAAAAAACTATCAATCATAAAATATTTTGAAGTAAAAGCAGTTTTTTAAGTTACGTACTTTCTGCGTTATAGTCATATAATCCAGTCTGCTTCAATAGGGTTACTTCTAATGAAGAAAAAACAGTCATAACAGAGTTATGCTTGCAGTTAAAAAGCGTTATCACTTTTAGGCTAAAATTGATGATCAAATTTAATTGAATCGCTTGTGGGTTCAATTTCCTTAGAAAATCTATTTTTTTTGTCACTGACTGTTTATTTTCGCTATGAACTTTTCATGAAAACTTCTTTGAATGTAATTGTTAGTTTTGAATTTTTAAGTTCGTGAGCTTCGTTTTTATGGTTTTTTAAATAAAACTTTATGCGGATAAAAAGGTGGCTTCTGATATATTGGTCAGGAAAACGAATCTTTTGTCATTTCCATGTAAAAATAGATTTTTTGTACCAATTGGGGTTTTTCCAGAAGGGGGGTAAAAACATTAAAGTTCGTTTACTTAGGAACTTTCGGCTTATTTCTGACGCTCGGTAATTGTTTCCGAATGCAAAATCATACATAATATCAGCGATTATGTTTCTGGTCGTGTTTTTTTAAAAATGGAGATTATATGAGAAAAATGAAGGAAATTTTATAACAAATTTTACCTGCGTTGACAATTTAATTGGCTTTGTGCGATAGTTAATTGTCCGGACTTTCAAATATGGTGACAAAACACTTTTGCTAGTGTTGGTTTTTTTTGCAGACAATGCGACTTTTTAATTAGTCTTTTTTGACAAGATTTTAAAAATCATCTCAAAAAAGATTTTTTGCCTGTGAGTTTTTTCGTAAAGTTATGGGATTGTAAAAAAGCAAATTCGGCCAACTTGGGATCATTAACGGGCAATATTTTTTGTACTATTTAAGCTTAAGCGGCAATTTAAATCAACCTAAATTGAATGGAGGCGAACAAAAATCGTTTTCTTTGAAGTTTTCTCCCAACTTTTTCAATATTTGAAAAAAAAATCATTGAGTTCAAGCGACCGTTGGAGCTATAAGGCCTTGATGCAAACAGTTTTTTTTCTTTTCAAATCAAATTACGAAAAAAGTTGATCAATTTGATACGTTTTTTCAACTCATCGACTCTTTTCTAACTGTCTGAAGACTAACTTTTTTATTAAACTTGTTGCACTAATCGATTCGACTCCATTTCAAAATGCGTGTTTCAAACTGATTGGCAACAATTTACAAAATCAGAGGAAACAGTTCTTATCTTTGCGCACATGTAGCATCAGGGCAATCAATACTGCTCGAATCAGGGCAAAGACCTGAATGTTCCGACTGCACTTTAACTGGTCTCGAATAGTTCTTAAGTGTTAAAATTTGAGTCGTACATGACAGTAAAAGTCCGATTAGCTTGTCTCAAACCAATTTAAATTGATTTTGTAGTGCTGAATATTTATTTTGCGACACGTTTGCAAAAAATCGCGTTGCACTTTGAGCATTAAAGTATTAACCGATAAGTTTCAGGTTAATATCGCGGTGTGTGGAAATGGTGGGACCCTCGAAAATCCAGGGATCGGTCCCCCGAATGAATTTATTTTTCGAAATTAGTTTGAATTAAAAACACCCCTAGTGTTATATATTCCTTTTTTTTTTTCAAAAGTTGGAACAGAAGCTTTGCAATTTTTTTTATTTTAACTTTTTTTTGCATAAAGGACAGCAATTTCTTTGCAGTCATTTTGGTTTGGTATTTGAATATGTCAGACTCGTATTTAGATAATCATTTTTGCGTTTGCGAG